TTCTTCACCAAGCCCACCTCTTCCAGTGTGGCTACACCAGCACTACATCAATTTCATGGCAGGTATCACAGCAGCAGTGTGGAGAGTGAATGCCACAGCATGAGTAGAAATAGTACACTAAGCTGTACAAGAGAAATACTGACACAATCTTAAACATTGTGATGTTCAGAGTGAAGAAAATACTTGTGCACTGTGTATTTAACCTGACACATTATAGCTCCACTATATTACCCTGCACTGTCAAACTGTAATATAGCATTAAATCAATAACAAAGAAAATGTGAGGTCTTTTTTCCTTCCCCAGGTTGTTTTGGTTCTCTTAAGCTCCCTGTCCTTGAAACTTATGCCACTGATACAGCTGAAAAAACAGAAGGATCAGCTGTAAACAACCAGATAGATCAGAAGGCTGACAGTGAGTTATAGAATCAGTTCTCTCTTTGGCTCTGTATTTACCTCTAACCCAGCTCACATTCACTTAAGGCTTTGATCCAAAGCCACTGGAGCCTCACTTGAGGCTCTCAATGCCAACCCAGAATACTGAGCTGCTGCTGAAGGGCCCTGTTTACTTCCCAGGCAGGTACACACCCAAGCCATCAGTGGCTAGCAGCCTTGGTGGGCAGACCTGGAAGGTTACCCATGCTGCAGTCAGCACCTGAGCACAGCCCAGACTTTTTAATTTATCCTTTTCCTCATTTTTTTTTCCCAGCTAGAGTACTAGTAGGATGGCTCTCTGCACAAACTGTGTCTTTTCTTGCCTTTTCAAATTCCCTTTTGCAGCTTACTCCCCCTCCAGCTCCTCTCCTCCACGGAGTGGAGTGGACACTCTGACACCCTCCCCAGAGAGCCAGGCACATTCCCAGTGAACACCACTCCCACCTCCTTTGGGGAAGACCAGGTATCTGCTGTGCTTCCCTGCCATGCCATCCTCCCAAGTCTTTGTCACAGCCATGTGTCCTAGATGTGTCACCACCTTTTTCTTCTGTCCCTGGTGGGCTGTTCCTTGAGACATCCCTCACCAGCAGCTGCCTTGGCACCACCACCAAGGCTGAGCACACAGGGCCTTCACTTCTCAGCCACCTGCAAGCCAGGAGGCTCATATCTGATTAAATGTCTTGACATCTTGGCATACAGAGGATTTGAAAGGCTTCACTCTCACCATTTTCTATCACTGTGTACCTTCACTGTGCTGCTGACTACACCAAATCTTCATCACCTGTGTTTCTGGGTTGGAGAATCTATCTAAATGGGGATTTGGCAGACAGAAAGAGGAAGGGAGACAGCATTGAGGATTGCACCTTCTGCTTCAGCAGCTGAGAAACATTTCTGCAAAACCACTGGAAACAAGGAGTAACTGAAGTGCTACTGAGGGAATAAATGATTCAGTGAACTTCTGTTAGTGGAGGCAAGGTGTAAGACAGAAAGCACCCAGTTTAAATATAAATCCTGATTGAATTACAGAACTGGCAGTTCTCTTTTTTGCCTTTTTTTTTTCTACCTTTCATCTTAACATTTTATAGGGAAGACACCAAAAGATAGTATGTTCTGAGTCCAAGAAGTTGCCTTCTTTAGAAAGAAGTGTATTGAATCACTTCTTAGAGAAGAAAACACCTGCAGGTAAGTAAGTCAAAGTGATAGCAGCTGGAGAAGAGAGCATGAAGTAAGTTCTTCTGAAGGATTAAGCAAAACCACTGCCTACCATCTCAGCTCCTGTGCAGATGAGGAGTTCTGCTAGACCTGTCACCTAACAGCTAACCATGTGTAATAGGAATGCTTCTGAACCAACTCATTCAGCATTCCTTTATTTTATAGAAGTCAAGAGAAAAGGCAAGAGAAGTTCAAAGACACAAAACAGACATTATTTAATTCAACAGTCCATATGGAGGCTTTTTCCCCCTTCTGATGTTAACCCACACAAAACAGTGCAGCAATTCTGTGAATATTTTAAGTTTTGCTTAATGGTTCTAGTGGGCCACTCTTTTTTTCCTCTGATCATTCATACTGTCAGATCCAGTGTGAATAATGTCAAATACTTGAGCTCTTTTCACTGTTTGGCTCCAGAGCATTAGTCTACGGGAATGAGGACTGTCACTTATGATTTCCAATTCATCAGGGACACTGAACTACTGTTACACAATTTCAGCAATGTCTGCTTCAGATTTTTCTGACAGATGGGTGATAAATTTTTTTAATTGAGATCATTTCAGGAATATGTAGCTTATATGTAGGATATGTTCAGCCTAATGAGAAGTCCACGGGGCATTTTGAGTCCTGCCTCTTACTTTCACAGCCACAAAAGGCAGAAAAGAGACTGAGACAAAGTTTCAGTAGATTGATGAATCTGTAGATATAAATTTCAGCACACCCTTCACATCTGTTCTGTACAGGCAGTTTGGAGATCTCCCAGATGCTTTAATCTTAATGCAGCAAGATGCAAAACAAGCCTTTACAGATGAAAGTTTCATGCAAGAGAAGCAGAGCCACTAGGCTGATATAAAGTTTCATGCCGCTATTGAAATGCCTTGGATTTGACCAAATGAGCACCACAACAAGATAAATTAAATAAAACAAGCAAATCTACAAACAATAAAGATACCAGAATACTTTGGTCCTCTCTTCCCTCCTTCCTGCACGAATCACACAATTTTCTCGAGTATCTTAAGTGGCTGGAGTAAATTCTAACAAAAGTATTAGCAACGTTCATTTCCATTCTGTTACCTATCAGTTTCTGCTAAGCTTTTAACGAGAATCAGGGTAAATCCTTTTTTTCCTTCTGCAGGAAGACAGAGAGCAAGCAGCAACCTCCTGCTGGGCAAGGCAGGGGCGGATGCCTCAGGCAGGCAGAGCACGGCGGCTCAGCCACAGGTTCAGCACTGCTTGGCAAAAGCTGCCCCAGGCTTCTTTGGAAGCACTGGGTTTCACTGAGGATTCACTCCACCCCGTTCTCAACATCTTCCTCTGACACCCTACTGGTAGAACTGAAATGGGAAGAATGTGGAAACTGGAAGGCTGGAAGGATAATTGGAACACAGTGGATATCATCTCCCTCTGCAGCCAGGGAAGACAAACGATTCCTTCCCTACTCCAAATGCAATGCCAAGTGGTGAACAAATGACTCTGCCTTTGACCCAGTGTCTTGGCTGTATGGTTATTATAAGCAGAGAGGATTAAATCTTGTTCACAAAATTAGTGTCATTTCCCTTCCAGAAAGGACTAGGCAGAGACAGCACTTCATCCTTTTTTGACACACACCCCTTTATACAGCAAAGGCAAAACCAGTTCAAGTACATACAATGGGAACTGGAACATTTCGTTTCCATTTCGTTATTAAAGTTTAAGTTCCTTTTGCTCATTAGCATCACAATCTCAATCCCGCAACCTGATCTAGGAGGCCAAGTCCAGCACTAATATTGTGTGCAATGAGGTCAGTGGTGATACACACACGTTCACTCTTCCCTCCAATCACCCCCAGGTGTGTTGCTGGAGGAATGGATTAGTTACATAGACCCCCAAACTACAAGAGTTTGGTTGGACACATGATGGAGAGAGAAGGCACTCTGTGTGCACAAAGCCAGCTCTGCCTGCAACTACCTACTCCCACCTCGCTCTTTACAGAAATGGGCTGAGATGCCCTTCAAGGAGAAGGTACAAAACTTGTTCCAAAAAATCCAGCTTACAAGGGTCTGTGCTCTTCAGCTTTCCTTTATGAGGAGCATGCCAGCCTGTGCCCAGACAGCCAACACTGATGGCTCTTGGCTCCAAGTCCACCTTTACAACCACAGAGCAGCAAGTGCTCTGCGGGAGTGCCAAAGGGACGTTCCATTTCCCAAAACTGCTCCCGCTTCACAGAAACACTCAATTTCCACAAATTCATGAAATTCTATTTATATATCCGGTGTGCTAATGAGTTACTCAATCAGCAGAGTGAACCAGGAACCGGTAACACATCCCCCTGGCAGACCTGCCAATGCACATACCCTTTATTCCAAACACCTGCTGTAGTTTGTAATGAGCATCTACCGATCACCCAGCACTAGACATCACTCAGCCACACCACCAGCTCTCCAGCACAGCTCTCTGCAAACACATGCATCATTTCTAAATGCTAAAATGTGCTAAATATTCATCATCGTTAGTGTTCCATCAGAATAAATTAAATAGAGAACAAGCTAATGGAAAGAATGACAAACTGTATGGGTTGTAACTGAGCTGATTTGCCACAAATTCTTCTCCTGGGGGAGAGAGGCCAGCGAAGGTTTTCTTTCTAGGATTAGCGAAGGTAGCTGTCACTTTACTGCCTCTCAACTTCCCTTTATTCCTGTAAAACCGAAACTCCTCCTCAACAACTTCGCCCGGTACACGGAGAAGGAACATCTGAAGCAGGGAGGCTGCAACTCCGCGGCTGACAAGGGAGGCTGGCAGCTGCCAGGAGGGATGCGCGGAACGGCGCGGTACCCGCGGGGCTGACCCCTCCACTTAGCGCTAAGAACAAAGGCAGGGATAACTACGGGTCTGTTTCAAAACACAACGCGGGAAGTTTCTGGCACGATCGCTCAATTGCGGAGAAAAGGTACTCGAGATAAAGCACAGGAGGAACTCACGAGGAATTCATGTGCGCACCTTCCCCAGCAAAAAGCGATTTCTGAAACGCTCCGTTTTCCCTTTTATCCCTCCCGCAGCCCGGCGAAGAGGCGCCACCTGCTCCCAAACGGCGGGCAAAGAGAGACACTTGCCGGGAGAGCGGCGGACTCCTCCGGAGCGTCACCTCATCACTCCCCTTCTCCGGAAAACTTGCCCCGGGCCGGGCTGCGGGACCGTGGAGCCCCCGCCCGCCCCCGTCCCGCAGAGCCCCGGGCAGAAATGCTGAATCACGAAGCCGAGGGCGCGGGACCGGGGGGCTCCCCCTGACCCCCACCCGGGGCCGGCCGCCCCCGTCCGCCCGGGCACGGAGCCGGGGAGGCTCTGTGCGGAGGGGAGCCCCCGCCCGCCCCGCCGACACTCACTTGAAGGTGAGGACGCAGAGGGGCCGGTAGGACTTGTGGCTGGTGTTCTCGGCCATGCGCTTGCCCCAGAAGTCGTTGGCGAAGGCGGCGGACACGGGGGCGGCCGCCCGCACGTCGGGGTTGTTCACGATGGCCCAGACGTCGTCGTGCACGAACTCGCCCCGCAGGGAGTTGCCGTAGCAGAGGACGCACAGCCCCGCCAGCACCGCCGCCGCCGCCGCCCCGCCGCGCCGCCCGCCCGCCGACGGGCAGGGGGCCGGCGCGGCTCGGTCCCGGCTGCGGGAGCCCCGCGCCGAGCCCGTCACCATGGCGCGGGGCTCGGCCCCGGCTGCCCCGGCTGCGCCGCCGCCGCGGCGCGGGGAGGCAGCGGCGCCCGCATGGTGCGGGGCGGGCAGCGGGACCGCCGCCGGCCACTCGCGCTCTGCCGAGGCGCAGCCCGCCCGGCTGCAAATAAACAGCGGCCGCCTCCCCGCGCCATCCCTTCTCCTCCTCTTCCTCCTCCTCCTCCTCCTCCCCCCCCCCGCGCCCCCTCCCGCACGCATGCTCCTTGCCGCGCTGTCACACGGCCGCCACCTCCTCAGCCCGTCGGCGCGGTGCGCTCTGCCCGCGGGGCGCTCTGCCCGCGGTGCCCGCTGCCCGCGGGGCGCTCTGCCCGCGCCGGCCCCGCCGCACAGCGCGGAGGGGACGCGCCCGGCACGGCCCGCGGCGGGGAGCGCAGTCCCGCTGCGGCGCTCGGGTCGCCGCTGTCCCTGCTCTCTCAGGAGAGGCGTGCAGGGCTGTCCTGCCGCCTGGGGCCAGCGCCTCCTCCGAACCCCCCTGCAGGCAGCCCCCTCCGCAGCTCCCCTGGGGACCGTGCTCACCTGGCCGGCGGCAGCATCCCAGCCGGCTCCACGGCACCCACGATGCTCCACAGCATCCACAGCGTGCATGCTGATCCGCTACCGATGCTGTTGCTGCACCGCATCCACGCTGCTCCACGGCATCAGTGCTGGGCCACATCCTCCACGCTGCGGCGTCGGCTGTGCCAAACAGTCCCCCACTGTGTCCTGCTGGAGGAAAAGGCATTTTCGTGCCACAGAACTTGTTTTCTCTACTCTGGTCTATTTCCTGTCTTTATTTCAAAATCGTTTGAGAGCTGTAATGTATCTATACCCTCCCACGGATGACCTTTCCTGTGTTAGTGATAAGCCCCAATAACTTAAGGAAAGTCCATGGTCAGATCATCTATTCACCCATTTATGAAAACTACATAGTCACAGATTTTTCAAAAACCAGAAAAACAAGGACTCTATTAATGGGCTTTCCCCCTTTAAAGAAAACCTTCTGCCTATAACCAAACAAAGCAATAACACTGCTTAGCAAAGAGGCTTCGATTCAATTAGGTGAATAACAGCCTGGATGCACTTTGAATTTGTTCTTGAGCAAAGATGCAGTGGGCAGGGCTCAGCAGCAGCCTGTGCAGCTCCTAGCTGCTCCCGTGTGAGCGTGCCTGCTCCCGTGTGGGAAAGAGAGGGGAGCGGAAGCCTTGGAGAGTTCATGCAGGCTGTCCAGGGCAAGCCTGCTCCAGGAATGCTTTTTCCCCCAGCCTATTTGGCACTTGGAGTGGTCTGGTATTTTCCAAGTGCAACAGAGCAGGCTTTTCAGATGCACTTTTGTTATAGCTAAAAATAACAGTTAACTCTGCCTAGGACAGTGTGTTTATATCCGGGACAGAAGGAAACTCCACCACAATCAGAACCATTAATGCAAACTTTCCCTTTAAGCAGCTGATGAGATTTAGGCAGCTGGCTGCATGGAGTTTTCATCAGCAGTGGGAGACCACTCATGATAATGTATTGGTCTTCATTTTCACCAAAGTTTCAAAGCCTAGGCACACAAACCTAGACTCCAAAGTCAGTGCATAGGCAGAGGAAGAGAAACAGCCTGGTATCCAGAGGCACTCAAGTACCAGAGCCCACGAGGACCCAGCAGCTCTGGAAACAGCCTCACTATTGCACACATGCCTAAGAGGTGGGATCAGGACTTTTTGTTGACATAAATTAAAGTAGTGTTTTGGGGGGGGGGTGGTAGAGAGGAATAGACTGTCATGTTGTTGAAAGCAAAAACAATGTGTAAGATTTAAAGGTTGAAATTGCCTTACAGTAGACAGCAGGTCATATTTGAAATTCTAAGTTACTCAGCTGAACAAAATCTGCAATCCTCTAGCCCAGCTGGGCCTCAGCAGGCTGTCCCTCCCAACAAGACCCCTGTACCTCTGGTCCTTCACCTCCAGGGATCAGAGTCCTCACAGCCTTTCTCATCGATGTCTTGCAGCCTTCTGTCCTTCCCCATCATCGCAGGTTGGGGGCAGCCCACTGACAGCCTGCTCCTGCCACAGAACAGGGCCCAGGGCTGCCACCAGGCGGCTTGGCACACGGGCAGGGACAGATCTCTCCATTTGTTATCCAGGGCTGTGGGACATGTCCCTGCTCTGTCACAAGCTCTGCTGTCCACTCCTTCAGCTTAATTAGTTCTTTACAAAAAGCTCACCAAAAATGCAGAGTTCTAAACCAGCAAATGATGAAGAGGTGATAGAAAATAATTTTCCCATCAAGGGATTTGCTGACAATATCTTCTGACAGTATCATACACACCCATCTAACATCACATAGTACAACAGGCACACTCCATGAAGTAAATAACGTTGCTTATGAATACAGAGCTACAATATCCTGCTCTCTTCCATAACCCACCACGCTTGACTAACACCAAAAAGAGAGAGATGGCAGTCCTGACCCACTCAGGACTCCTTCCCTTCACACTCTTTAGGAGGGCACCTATACAGACCATTGGCTTTTATCTGGCACATACCTAGACTTTGCAATGGAGAAAAACCCAATGTATTTTTAAACTGTTTCTTATGTGTTTATTGAAACATTATGCATAACATGTAGTCAACACTGATTTGCCAAGTCCTTACATGACAAGAAAATCTATTCTCACTTCTCCAAGACAGACCAGTTCTTTCCTTTCTTCCCTCAAGCAAACATCTGGAAGAGACAAAGCAATGCTCCAGCCAGCCAGTGAGGAAGACCTCCTGTTCTTCACACCAAGACCCACTGAAATACCAACACATCATCCTCTACTTTCTCCACAAAGGGGAGCATTACCTCTTCATGCACCAGTCACCATCACAGATTGAATTCAAGATGTTGTCTGTTGCTAGAAGTCCTGTCCACCTATAAAGAAAGTATCAGCAAAAAATTCAGAGAGCAGAAGAAATACTGAACACTGCTGTGTTCTGAATGTCAGATCTGTACAGATATATGCAGGCATAGACACAGAGGGAGATGAGAGAGAGAGAGAAAGAAGATACTACAGAGATGGGATGATTTGCTCCAAAGTTGCTTTGTCACTTCCAAAAATATGTTATCTAATAAGATGTGTTTCCTTCTTCTGTGAGCCTTGGTTCTTTCTCTACCTAAAGTAACCATGCCATTGCTTCTGAAATGTGAAGCCAAATTGCTTCTCAGAAAAGCCGAGCTGGCTTCTGGAATTGTGTGTAGTTGAAGTACTCCAGCTATTTTCCTGCTTCCTTGTGTTTGAATCACAAGTTTTGTGCCAGCTATATAAAAAAGATTAACAAATGGCTGTTAAAACTAGAGACCTTGAAACTAATTATGTGCGATGCTGGAAAAATCCTTGCTCTGCTAATTGAGCAGAGCTCGTTACTTCCAAAGCAGGAAAGTTTTGCCTCCACTTGGAGTAAAACATACGGCAGCCAATGCAAGGCAGGAGACACATTTGAGCAGATACACTTCAAAGGGTTGAGCACTGATTGATCCGCTATTATCTGACAATTGCAACTGCTCAAAGGCAGAGAGAAACTGCAAATGTTTTGAGTTTCCAGCTTAAACACGGAGTTCTGAAGAGTCAAGCTTTGCATTGACTGATTAAAGTATAAGAATGCAGTAAATACAATTTAAAAGTTAAATTACCATATGGTCATAGCTAGAGGTAAATTTCAAAAGTAGCACATGTAAATAGTTTCTTGCTGTCTGAGCAAATAATTTTACATTTAAATGAAGTCATTTGGTAACTGGTCCAATTGATTTCTGCTTGTAGTCAGTTACTGCGACTCATTTCAGTTGCCCCAGGATGAAACTCTGTATCTGCCACACAGAGAATCTTCAGTGGATACAGATTATGTTTGTGTGGTTAAAAACAAATTAGGAATCCTAAATCCAGTGTGTTGCCTGTGCTCAAAGAGCTTTGGAGAGACAGAAAGCAATCCATGTGGGCCTGAACCCCTCCAAGGGGTTCAGTGCAGGAATAATTTGTTTTAGTCAAGTAGGATTTGCATTTTGGAGTTACTGGGAGCAAGGCAACTGTGAAAGGCTATACTGACATTTGCTGGGAAAATCCTAATTACGATCCTTTTTTCCTTCTTATCAAATTGCCTCTAAGTCTATTCAGGCAACAGAAAGTTTCTCTTTGGTGAATTCTTCCTAAAGCCCAGTGAAAGTTCTATGTTTTTGCTTTCACTTTCAGCTGTGGCCAAGAGCCAGAACATGCAGGAGGGGAAAGCTTAGTACCTTGGTCCTGTGATCCTTAGGAGACAAAGAAATCCAATATCCTCAGGACGACCTATCCTTCTCAAAGGGGATATAGTATTTCAAGTTCAGCCCACAACCCCCTAGCAAGCCTTCTCACCATGCCAGTCACAGATTGTGCTAAATATCAGCCCTGAAAATTCCACCCCCTCAGTATTTACCAAGGGATACCAATAAGAAGATATCACATGATAAGCACTGCTTGGTGGATCCTCATGGATGCTCATTTCCCACCCCTGACACAGATGGGAAGTAACAGAATCCTCTGTGACCCATTTTCACATCCATTTGTCACCTGTTTCATATGCTTGCGCAAAATGAGAGATTTCGAGCTCAGAAAAAGCTTGCCATAGTTGTTACTGGATTAGAGGGAATCTCTTTTTCAGCTCATACAACAAATGCATTTTCTGCCTTTGAAGAGAGCTGACTTAAGCCTTGGTCTATGGGCAGGATTGTTCAGAGTCTTTGAGCACCCACAGTAGAGGGAGCATCCATGATTTGACACTCTACGAGCAAATGGTAGAGTGACTTGGGTTATGTAATCTCAGCTCAGAGGTCAGGGACAATACAAAGGTGGGACAAGCCCCAGTAATGAGAATAATTGGATTCTTCATCTCCTGAGAGGAGGCAGACTATGGCATAGGCAGATGAGATTCCCCACTCCAGCAGGTTCATCCATCAGCTGAGGGGATCAGTGCTTTCCATTTCTGTGTGCA